AGAAGCTACTAGGGGCTCCTGGCATCGCTACTAGGAGCAAGGACGCTCCTAGTAGCTATTTGTTTCAGTTTCAAGTTCTTCACCTGGCTGGCCCGCTGGATTCGCACTCACAGGCCTTTGTGGTCGTGTACAAACGCTGGTAATCATCTTTGGACAAGGTATCAAATTGATTCGAAAGGTGTGCAAATATGTGAATTGATGCATTCATATCGGACATGGCAATTTGAGATCGCATGGCTGCAATCATGTTCATCTATATATTTCAGAGCAATATCCAACTTATATGATCTTATATGCAGAGGAAACGCCAGAGCTTTTCAACCACAAAGGTTTACGCAGTGGCAAGGTACCTTAACTTATCGTCTATCGGATCTGTAAAACCCCTCAGTTCCTCCATCGGTTTGTGGGGGCCTCGCAAAGGCAGGCGGCCACGGGTTTGATGCCATGGGCCGCTTGCTTTCATTGATCCGGAAGTGGTTTTTCAGCCGTGTCGACACAGCTGTCAGGAACATTTTCCTTTCATGGCTCTTTATCATGTTCTCAATTGCAGCAGGGAAGAGGGCCTTGGGCTATGGACCAGCTCGCCCTGAAAATTGGGGCTCAACCCGAAGGAGGCGTCCTGTACCTGCTTTTGCTGCGGAAGATGGGCTGCAAGATGCACCCGGCTTGAAATCGTGCTTGCAGCTGACATCATGCCTTGAAGGAAGCATTGAGAAACTCATGCAGCCCTCTAGAGATGGTCAGGGTTGGAGCGGCTTTTGCTCTGTTTGCAAGCGACCTCTAGAGGTCCGGGTGGCTGATGGAACCAGGTCCGCGCGGCAGGACGTTGGAACGAGCGCACGTGGACGTTATGCTTTCTTGATCTGCTTATGGGGATCGTCAAAGGACTACGTCCTCGGAGCACTGGTCCTAGGCTTCTCCATCAAGAGGACGAGAACCAAACATTCCCTCGTTTGCTTGCACACTGAAGATGTGTCTCCGGAGCACGTGAAGCTGCTGCAGATCTTCTGGGATTGCCGAGTGGTGGAGCACATCGAGGTGGCGGCTGCCAAGCGGCTGAGCACAGATGATCGCGTCGAAGAGTCACGATTCTCCAAAGTCTTCACTAAGCTCAGGGCCCTGCAGCAGGTGGATTTTGAGAAGGTTTTGGTCATGGACATTGATTTACTGGTCCTGTCAAGCGTTGACAAACTGTTTGACATACCAGCCCCCGCGGCCCTGAAACGGGGCATGAACTGCGGCAAATGGCCCTACAAGCATGGTGATGACATTGATGGAACCACATTCTTTTCTGGATGCAAGCCCGACAAGACGCATTCTTGGGGGCAGGGCACCGGAATCAATGCGGGTGTGATGTTGCTTGCGCCCAACATGGCCGACTTCCACCAAATGCAGGCAGAATTGAGGGAGCCATGGCATCCTGGCCATGTCCGTGGAAACGGTCCAGAGCAGGACTATTTGAGCCGCTTTTATGCTGATCGGCCATGGAGGCACATTTCAGTGGAACACAATTTCCAGGTGCACCACATGTACAATGCCTTGGACCCACGGCTAACTGATGCCGAACGGCTGGTGGTGTGTCAAAACTACCAGACCGTGCGCATCGTCCACTTCTCGGGCAATGCCGGGGTGAAGCCTTGGACACGCTGCTTGCAGAAAGGATTTGGATGGCCCAGCCGAGACCAAGATGAGGAGTACATGCAGTCGTTTCTCTCAGATTATCATTCCTATTTGCTGTGGGTGAAGAAAGATCCGGAGCGGTGGAACAAGATGGAGAGGAACATGTTTGACGAAAGCAGCCTCAGGGGCTTCAGCCTGGGTCAAGATGGTGCCATCTACTTCGAAGATGAGAGTGGGAAGGTGCTGAAGGAGACGTCCCAGGAAGCCATCACTGCAGTCATGGATGCTACAAGGTATTTTCTCAAGTCCTGGTTTGACATGCTAGAGGCTGCCACAGCTTTGTTGCAGAGGAACTTGGTGGAAGAGTTGATCTCCGCTGGTGGGGACCAAGCTCAGCCTTCAGGCAGTTCTGACCCTTGGCAAGGCAGGAACGACCCCTGGCAGGAAGGCAATGACGCTTGGCGAGGCGGAAGTGAGAACAAGAGCGGCTCGGGGTGTGAAGAAATTGCCAAAAATGAGGCCTGGAGCCACTACAAACCATCAGGCACTCAGCGCAACCACAATGGTTCACAAAAAGGTTGGGAGCTGCAAAAGACATGGGGTGATGCAACCTGGGCGCCCAAAAAGCTGAAGGCTGATGTCTCGGTTTTGTGTATGACCCTCAAGGCTTCGCCACAGGCCGAGATTTGCTTTTTTGGCCCTGACTCTAAAGAAGTGGTCTCCGCTGATGCCACAGATCAGGAGCTCCAAGGACTTTTCGTGAAAGATGGAACAAGAGCAGTGAGGAACTATTCGACAGAGGAAGAGGACTTGAACAGTTTGGACATTTTTGTTTCTTCCATTGAGAAGGGTGATTTTCTGCTGTGTGCCGCCATGGGCCTTGAACAAGAGGCTTTGCAAAAGGTCCTGCTGGTCCTGGGCAGTAAGACGCCTGTGCCACACAACCCAGGAGCAATGGCAGTTGCTTGGGTCATCGGAAGAAGACCTCAGGTCAGATTTGGAGAAAGCTGGGCATTGGCTGACACAATATGAACTCCGTGACCCGCAGGTAACCGTGACCTCTGGCTGGCAGTGGAGCAGGTCAACCTCAAGTACAGTGGAGCGCTGGACCCGCGCTTGGCGAGGTCAAATTGCTGCGAGGTTGGTGCGTGAAAAGAGTATAAGTTTGTGGCTGTCAATACTAGCCCATAAAGTATTTCACCCAAGAACATCAACTGACGGCTGCGACGAGATGCTGAAATCAATCAAGTAACTAAGAGAGATATTTTGGGATCCGTTCCGGATCCGTTCCGGCATGTTTCAACCAAAACCAGACCGGTCGACTCACCCAGGAGGATCCCATGAAGCCCGCGCATGTGTGCGCCCTGCTGGGTGGAGTGCCAGACTCAGAGCCGGAGCGATCCGGATCTAGAAGGAGTGGAGGAAGTACGACCCAAGAAGCTGCTCCATAATTGACGGAAAGCGGGCGAATGTATGTGATCGTCTCCAGAAGATGTTCTCCCCCCAATCTATGTGATGGCATGAGATTGAAGATGGAGTTTGACAGTGTGGGATTTCTTTATTAAGTGGGCAGATTGTATTTAAGGCATGGCTCTTGTACATAAGGAGTTGGGGATGTGTCCATAGCTCTTAACTTGCCTGCAACACAAAGTTACATGTTTGGGAGGTAGGGCCCTCTCCAAGGCACAACTCTCACAAAAACATGAGAGCACAAAGCCTGTCCTGCCTTTTTCCATTGGGCCTGCCTCGAGCTGCACCAACTAGCTGAACGCAAACACCACACTGCGTTTTGCAGTCAGTGCACAAGCAATCATATCAGCCACCATCCTTTACAGAGACATATTGGATATCATGTCATTGGATGCAGAGATGTTGTCTTTCAACAAGAATCAACACATAGAAACAAAGTACCTTAAGACCAAGTGGCTGGGCGGCTGGAACATGTTGCTGTGTTTGTCAGCCCAATCCTAACTTCAACTTTTAGCATCAGTGTCATTTCTCGACACGAATTTCTACCTACTCGTAAATTCAGTCACTAGCTTGACAACATCTTTTTGTGTGTCAGTCATGTGCAAGGATGCCATTTTGCAGCTCCGCTCCAATTCCAATGGCTAAAATCAACATATCAGTTGATACAATAATTATATCTAATTATGTTGTTTGGTGCAATGAACAAAGAAAAACAGTATAGTGTTTGTGTAGAATAGGAGCTGACGGGGCTCTACAAAACAGCTAAATCGCTCAGAACATTTCTTGCTCACGTTCTTCGGACCTTTCGAGAAGCTTTTGGATGCATGGGATTGGCACTGCAGCAGGCCTCTTCATGCCACGTCTTGAACTGGTCTTTGGCTTTGGTGTGGCTTGTGGTTTTGGCTTTGGTGTCGCTTTTGGTTTTGGCTTTGCTGCTGCTTTTGCTTCTCTCTTGGCTGCTGCTGATGCTGCTTTCTTGGCTGCCGCTTTTGTTGCGCTCTTGGCTGCTGCTGTAGGCTTGGAACTGGATGCTTTTGCTTGTGCTGAAACAGTCTCTGGTGTTGTTGCGGGTTCCACTGCTGCTGATGCAGTGGGCTTGGCTTTGGCAAGCGCACTCTTCAATTCTCCCACAAGCATCTGGGTGGTGATCTTGGCAGCATTGGGGAGGGCTTTGTCATCAGCGGTTGGTTCAGGTTCATGACCTGTGCCTGCATGGGCTTGATCCATCTCAATTATTGCCTGGCATTTTTGCGCCATATCATCAAGAGATACACAATTTGCCAAGTCAAGAATTGGGGGTGCGGACTGTGCCTCAGCCTGGGAAAGGTCTAACTTTGCAAGATCCTGTTGAAAGTTTTGCAGCAGCTTGGTGACCGCAGGATTTGCGACTGGTGAAGCATCATTGTCATCAGCTGGCTGGTGCTCCTGGGCTGTGGTTGCTCGTCTCCTCTTCGGAGGTGCATCGTTTGCCGCATGGTTGTGTTTCTCTTGCTTGTGATCTGATTGCTCAAGCTTGTGCTTCTTCTCCTTTTTCTTGTGCTGACCATCCCCCTTATGCTTGTGGTCACGGTGATGCTTGTCATGGTCTTTGTCTTTCTTGTGTTTTTTCTCCTTCTTCTCTGACTTCTCTTGCTTGTCCTTCTTGTCTTTCTTCTTTTCCTTCTTTGACTCTTTGCTTTGGTCTGTCTGGCTGCCATGGCCCTCCTGCAGTGGAGGCTCTTCTGCGGCTTCCTCATCCATGAGGATGGCAAGAGCATGTTCAAGTGAATCTTCATCTTTATCTTCTTCCTTCACATCTATCTGTGGAGTGTGCTGGTCGCTGGCTGGTTTTGGTATCAGCTCTGGCTGTGGCATGTGCTTTGCTGATGCTGGTATCACTGCTGTTCCTGGGTTCTGCGATGCTTCCTCATCAAGCTGTGTAGGCTGTGTTGTTCCTTGCAGCTGCTGCTGGTGCTGCTGGACCTGTAGTGCTCCAGCTTTTGCTTCCACTGCCATATGTCCTGGCTGTTGTGGCTGTCCCACAGGCTCTGTCTGCGGCTGCTTGTTGTTCGGTGCTTCTACTGCTGCTTCCACTTGTGGTCTTGCCTCAAGCAGTGCTTTCTCCACAGGTGCGGGATGTTGTGCGGGTTCCTCAACATGCTTTG